CCATCCGCCGCCAATAATCGCGAAATACCTCGAAACGTGGAACTCTTTTGCCCCCCTAGAGTCTTTTGCCCCCCTAGAGATGGAGTACGCCTGCTCCGAGTCCTCGGCGCCGGCTTCCCGGAAGAGGCCCGCCACCACTTCAGGCACCGGTTCATCGGAATCCTATGACTCCGACGGAACCGGCGAGTCTACATTCACCACAGTTAATTCCAAGCGCAACGGTAAGCGCGCCGCGTTAAAACGCACCCCCCCCCCCCCCTATCTCAGCGGCCCCTGCCGCTCCTACAACCTCCGCAGCCCCCGCCGCTGCCGCCGTCCCACTTATGTCACTAGACATCCCCACACCGTCCAAACCAGCCTCTCGTTGTGCTCCAGTCCTTGCCAAGAAGCAAGTCCCACCCCCTGTCTTCCTAAGAGACAAGTCAAAATTTACCCAACTCTCAAAAACCTGCTACGACGCAGGAATCAAATATGACCATGCCATCAACCTTGGCGAATCTATCAAAATCGTCCCTAGCTCAATAGAAGACTTCCGAAAACTCACCAGGCTTTTCACAGCCGAACGAGTATCTTACCACACCTACGCTCTTCCGGAAGAGCGAAAAGTCAGAGCCGTCATGCGAGGCGTCCCCTTCGAATTCACCAACGAGGAAATCCTTGAGGACCTTAAGTCCCAAAGATTCCCCCGTAGAAGCCGTGCACAAAATGCACAGTAGAACGGGCAAGAGGTTCAACCTAGCCCTTGTCATCCTAACCTACGGGCCGGAGGCAAAAGCCATCTTCCGGCAGGTACGCACAGTGTGTGGCCTGTCGAAAGTGAAGTTTGAGCCCCCACATAGGCGCGGATTCCCGGCGCAGTGCCACCGCTGCCAACTATATGGTCATGCGGCGGCCAACTGCTTCGCCCCACCCAGGTGCGTTAAGTGCCTCGAACCCCACAACACTAACTCTTTAGAGTTGGTCGCCCCCGGCCCAAAGACGCCGAATCCCCGCCCGCATGTGTCCTGTGCAAACAGACAGGCCACCCGGCTAACTACAGGGGCTGCCCCTGCGCACCTCAACCTCGCCCCAGTAGGCAAGCTCCACCGCCGGTCAATGACCGCTCATTCACGGCCCTCTACCAACGGCCCCGTCAGGGCCTTCCTCAGCCCATCCAGGGCTTCTCTCGGCCCTCTCAGGGTCCCCCTAGGCCCCCTCAGGGCATAATTCGGCCCCTTCCGGGCTTCTCCAAGCCCATGCAGCCTCCAGTCTTCCCCTGGGGCCCCAAAAAGGCGGACCCACCGCGGACAACCTCCTACCCCCAAGAATTAGAGCCCACAGCTGATTACTATAATACACTGTATTCCGCTATTAGGAATATTGACATTAGGGAAATCACTGTAGTAGCACGCAAACTGCGCGCTGCGAAGTCCCCTCAAGAACGTCTCCTCGCTCTTTCAGAGCATCATAATCTTCTGTTAGCGTTGTAAGTTAAGTTTACTTAATTAACTTAACTTCAATGATAGAGCAGTTTGCTCTACCAAAATCTCACGGTCGTATCAAACCTAAGGGTTTATCGCTTGTATCTTTTAATATTCGCGGTTTGCGAAATAACCTCTTTCTTCGGAATCGTGAAGTCGATTTCCTTCTCCTACAGGAAACTAATCTCAAAACTAAGGACACTAAAGGCCTTTCTATTAAAAACTTCTCTCTTCTTCGTAACGACAAAGGCAAACTCGCCCCAGCTTACAACCCGCCCCAAGATGAGGCCATTTTATCTTTAGAATTCATCAAGAGATAACGCCCCATACTCTATTCAAAAATTTCTCTCAACCTCAACAATCACTAACATCTAGGATCCGACCACCGACCGGTCTCCCTCATTCTTGGCCATCAGCCACCTCCCCCAACACACACGAAAACTTTCACTAATTGGAAGGGATTCAAGGAGTCCCTAGCTAAAGCTCTGGACTCACAGGACTCTACCATCTCCCTATCGTCGGACTTAGACAGTCCCGAAAAAATCGACACCGCGGTCGATTCACCTTCCACCCTTATCAAATCCTCCCTTAGGGAGAACGAAAGGATCATCCCGGTTGCTAACAATAGTGGGCTTCCCCTACATATTAGCAACCTATTAAAAGCCAAAAAAGCTGCTTTCCGGAGAGCAGCAAAATATCCCACCCCCGAATATAGGCGCGCGGCCAATCGTCTTCAACGAGAACTCCGTTTCCGCCTCTCTGAATTTCGAGACCTCGAAAAGAGTAAACTCATGGAGAATATCTCTCCATCTCATACAGCGTACTATCAGATGGCCAGAGCCCTCCGCATAGACTAACCCACACTCCCCCTCTCTCCCGTCCCGACAGCACGGTTGCCTTCGAGGACGAGGAAAAGGCTGAGTGCTTTGCAGATAGCATTGCCGCACAATGCTCTCCTAGCTCTCAACCCGTCGACCCCTCACACGTCCAGGCAGTGGAGGATGAGGTCCGCCGCCGGAACTCACCCCCTACGGCCTCCGAACCTATCTCTGTGTCCAATGATGAGATTTCATCCCTCATCGAAGGACTTAAGCCTAAAAAGGCCCCGGGCGCGGATGGCATCTCCAACCAAGCCCTAAAACACTTTCCTGAGCAGGTGTTAACCTTTTTATCTATTATCTTCAACGCCTGCTTCAACCTTAGTTACTTTCCCACTACGTGGAAAGAGGCAACTGTGATTGGAATTCCCAAGCCAGGCAAGCCTCTCAACCTCCCCTCCAGTGATCGCCTCATTAGCCTCCTCAAGACAATGGGCAAGCTCTTCGAAAGAGTCATCCAAACACGTATGAGGCGCTATCTGTTTCCCACAGACGGTGACCCTCTTATCATTCCCCATCAATACGGTTTCCGAGCGCAACACTCATGTCCCCAACAAGTACACCGTATTGTGGAATATATCCTCAGCGGTTTTTATCCTCGTCGTCATAAGACCATCGCGGTCTTTTTCGACATAGCTAAAGCCTTCGATAGAGTCTGGCATACAGGCCTTATCTACAAACTCTACAAAATAGGTCTCCCCGATCGTCTAGTACGTCTCGTGGCCTCTTACTTAAAGTATCGTACCTTTCGTTTTAGACACGAAGGCACGCTATCCTCACAGCGAACTATCAAAGCTGGTGTCCCTCAGGGCTCAGTACTTGCTCCTTTGCTGTACATCCTGTTCAGCAACGACATTCCTATCCCGTCGAAAGGTGTTCAGCTCTCTCTCTTCGCAGACGACACTGCTATCTACTGCAAAGGTATCTCACTACCCTTCATACGGAACAAGATTCAAAAGTCAGTTGATGACCTAGGAGGCAAAAAATCGATAACGGAGAAGAGCTCGGCCGTTCACTTCGATTATAAACGACGCCGTCTCAAAAACACTCCACCAATACGTATGCTAGGGACCCCTGTCCCCTGGCATACGACCGCCAAATATTTAGGTGTCACTCTAGACACAGGGCACACTTTCAGACCCCACGTCAAAAGAGTAACCCGTCACGCACGGTTTTATCTGAGTAGGCTCAACAGTATGTTGGGCCGACACAGTAAAATGTCCCTTAGAAACAAGCGTACCCTTTATAAGGTCCGTATACGACCAGTCATGTCCTACGCGGACCCCGTTTTTGCCCACGCCAACCCTAAAATTATTAATGAACTCCAAATAGTTCAAAACCTTTTCTGTCGTCGAGCTGCGAACGCACCTTGGTACGTCCGTAATGCTGACCTTCATCGGGACCTAGAGCTCCCCACAATTCAACAATTTCTCCAAAAACTCTCTGAGAACTTCTTCAAAGCCTCAGAGTCGCACTCAAACCATTTAATTCGTGAGGCAGCTACTTATGCAGCCCCACCCCCCTCTCGCTATCGAGTCCGCAGGCCGAGAAACTCTCTCTCGGAGCCGCCTAATAAACTAACAAACGACCTAAACTGTCTCCTGGCGGCTCAGGCCGACTCTAATTAAATTAAATTATTTAATCATAATTAATTTGCCTTCGTAGGCACTCCCTCAGCGGCTCGTAGCCGCCTGCGCCCTCTTTTTCCAAAAGAGGGTCGCTCACGATAAAGCACAATAAAGCTTAATCAGCCGGTTGCCTGTCCCTAAAGGCGGTTTTTAGAGGGTATCACTTAGGGTCCCCGGTAGGATGTGAGTCCCTCATAACCACGATAGACCGGCTATCGTGGTATGCGTAATACATTTTCCGCCTCCCTACGTATAGGGTAGCCCTTTAACTGCTTCGGGCGCAAAAAAAAAAAGTGCGAGCTATTTGCTCCCCCCTTTCTGCCTTGCGCCCTCCTTTCTGCCAAGGAGGGTAGCGTCCGTATACGGCTTATAGATCTCTAGTTAGACCGTTAAGCCAGTCCCTAAAAGGTGGGGTTTAGTTGGTAAAAGTTTCCACATAACCAAGCAGCCGGCTACGTGGTATGATATGAGCATTCCCCACCTTCCTCCCCCGCTTTCCGGAGGGTTGCCCATATTCACTTCGGGTGCAAAAAAAAAGAGTGCGATCTTCATACAATATTTGGCTGTTGATGCGAATAGACGTTCAGAGTGTTCGACCTTATTGACAGACAATATTTGATTTTAACAAACCTTGCTTATCAGCGCGACTTTTAGTCTACTCTTACGTTTAATAATTTATTTTTAGATTTTTTGGTTGATTATAAAATAGGTATTAGTTATTTTGATAGTGTTTAAATGTTTCTTACTCGTATTATTAGCTTAATTATAAATTAAAGTTTTTTATTTATTTATCTGTAGTTTTAAATAGGTACCTAGGTATCAAATAGGTTATTTCTTTCTATTAGACGTAGTTTAGGTACCTACTTATATATTTTTTAGAATTTAATTTTGGATCTAAGGATTTATTTAGGATCCGTTTTATTATTTAAGTAGGCATTTAGATTTTTTAAGTGTATGGTAGCTATAGTTAGGACCTCTAACGTAGATTATTTTGTTAGGTAACTGAATGCCGTCGATTAAAAATAAAATACGCAATGCCACCTAAAAAACGATTATCTTTATCTCGAAATTCGAGAGAAGCTAAGAGAATGAGAAATGTGCGTTCTCAAGAATCGGCAGAGGAAAGAGCAAATCGGTTAAACTCTATGAGAGTTAGTGCCTCAACTTCTCGAGCCAATGAAAGCTCTCCAGAAAGAGAGATGCGATTAGCAGCTGACAGAGCGAGACGAGCTACATCACGGGCGTCTCAAAGTTCTTATCAACGAGAGCTAAGGATTACCATTGACCGAAAACAACATGTGTTATCCCGAGAAGCTGCTCTTTCCCGGGTTAGCAGTTCTATAAATCTTTACGTTCACGTGCCGGACGGGTCAACTTTCAACATAGTTTACCCGGAAGCTTTGCGCTGAAGTATTTTTGTTCTGTAAGTACTTAAGCCAGGATCCGCTTACGAAGTAGCGTGCAGAAGCTAGTTGTACATAAATCTTGTGCGATGGTACGGAACCCCTTATGCGCGAGTCTGATTCGCACTTGTTCAGTTTTTACTATGAATTAATTGCTAATTGCAAAAAAATCTATTGAAATTCTATATTCAGTTAGAAGTTTTTACATTTTTTTTAGATATTGACTATTGGTAATTATGCCATACCTTACTTAAGTAAAGTACAATTCTTCATCAACTCAAAGCCCCGATCGCAGTGCCAGACGTCTTAGACCTTTGACGCTGCCTTTGATGAAGTATTCCTAACATATTTTATTTATCCGAAAGATTCTTTTAATGAGCTAAGAGGAAGATGCTTTAGAAACGGTTGTTCCCGACAGAAGTTAAAATCATATAAAACAAAATCCTCATTATTTGCCTTTAGATTACTTTCAGATTTTTCTCAAACTTACCTGGGGATTACGATGGCGGACAGTAGCAAAATATTTTTAGGACTGTTGTGTTATGAAATTAAACACAAATTCATGATTTTATTTGATAATGTAATTTAACTATGACATACCACTAGATGACCAAAAATTATTATTTACCTGCATTTTAACGAGCGATGACAAAGGACTTAAAGTGTAAAATCAACTAAAAACACAACCCAAACTTCCTTGAGTGGTGATGGAGAGCATTACTGCTAGTATATTTACTGTATGGTGAGACTAACCTGCATAGTAAATATGGGGACATTTCTCACATAATAAATGTCCACTTGCGCAATATTATAAATGCTTAAGTCCAGTGCACTTAAAATACTTACAAACGAAGTTTATGTCTTGTGGTTATATTGTCCTATATCTCGTAATAAGAATGTTTCACTCTCGAATCAAATATATGTTGTGGTTGTTTTTGTTTAGTGTAACACTCTCTTTTTCTCTCTTCTTTATAAGAGCTTTTATTATTACAAGCCCGTAATTGACTACGCCACCTGGTAAGAGGCCTTCAATGGTAAATCGCACTGTCTTAACGTAAGAAATGCCTGTCACTCTTGCCTTGAAGGCGTCCAGATTTTAATCAGACGAAATAACAGACGGCGGCAAGTCATTTTAGTTCTTTGCTGTATACGTTTCTAAAGACAAATCAAACAGTTTAATTCGTATGCGTGGAATATAGACAACAAAGGGGTAAATACCCGCCTTGTGTCCAAAGGTGGGAAGGGGAAGGAGGAATTAAGGCATGTAATTATTATAAGGTTGTATTATAACTATTATAATAATTACACCCACACACGCACAAACACACACACACGTTTTTTTCATTTTTTATAGGGTAGGATGACAAACGAGCACACACCATGATCCACCTGATGGTAAGTGGTTGCTGCGACCCATAGACATCTACATCTATCCTCGATTACAAATCAAAATGCAGATGCGTTGTCACCCGTAAGGACTAAGATGGAGTGCCTCGTTTCCAGTAAAAAGGGTTTCATAAGTAAGTTTATGTGGTATGCTATAATAATTTATATAATCGTATTGGCCGACACTCACGAGGTAACTCTACATACATAGACAAAGTAAACGTCATTTAGGCAATATTCCTTTTAGAAAGGATCGACAAAAAAGAAAAATAAGTTATATATTATGATCAAGGTCCGCCTAAAATTTAAAAGTCTTTGTTTTATTATTAAAATATGTTGCACTGAAAGCCAAAGTTTTTGTCAATCGTTTTCATCAATATTTTCAGCCCTAAACTCGACAAGGTGTGAAATTGACAAGTCGGCGTTTGCGCACAAGTCAGCAATTAATCGGGACCTCATAACAAGGATCTTCATACATAATTCAGTTAATGTTTTCTGTCAATCACCGCCATTGTTCGCTTGACGCAAATTGCTTGGCGTAGGCCCTCCTAAGGCATAAAATTAAGACGATTAGCGTACAGAGAAATCCACAGCGAGGCCGCGTGTGGCTGCCACATTGTAGGTGCAATTTAGTTCATGGAAAACCTTTGCAGGCTCGATTTGAATTCAAACGTAAGGGCTGTATCACATAAATAAATTCCCCTTTTATTTCCTTGTTTTAAAAGTCTTGGCGTGTGTTTCAACTTAGTTAAAACCTTAGCTAAATATAAAAAAAAAAAATATATATATATATATATATATATATATATATATATATATATATATATATATATATATATAACTAAGGTTTTAACTAATAATATATATATGCTTTAAAATAGTTTGAAATGGATTGTAATACGTAAGGTGCAATTTTGTGTATTAAATGCCTATGCATATGAATTATTAAAGTACTTGATTTCACAATTGTTTCGATGAAGATCTCAATTTTTTTATCCGCTTGGGCGACATTTTCATCTTCAACTATCCGCTGCGTGTAGCTGTCTTCAAAATCTCCCCAAAACATCGAAATATGACACAACAGCATATTGTGAAGAATTTTGTAAATTAAATATGCATCAAAATATGCTGAACTTTTAATATTCCGACTAAAGGACTCATGTTCATGTAATAAATTGAAAAAATTAAAATAAAATTATTTAATCGTACTAGAATAGAACAGTGAACTTTACTTGTTTTTATGTGAAATTATATAATCAAGTAATTCTGGTTATGCTGCATTTTGGATAATTTAAATTATTATATATTACTAGAGATTACCTCTATTGTCTCATTTTCTAATTTAAATTACTCGAAACTGATTCCAAATTCAATGTAAAGTAATTATACTGCTAATTAGAAGCAGATGCCTGGGGGCTACCCAGCAATTAATCGTTGGCTGAGTTAAAATATAAATAATAAGATAGCGCATTTGCTAACAGTCTTAAACTGTACTTGGATAGATAATATCTATCTCCAGTCCATCCCTTACTGGCTCGGCTCAACTTTTTATTAATTTTATCTTAAGTGATTATCATATACAACCTTTTCTTCTAGGTTTTAATTTTGAACGACCAGAATTCAGTCCATTTAGTTCAGTCTAGAAGTGAACCACTACAGTGATACTACATAGTGGTAGAACTCCTTTCCTTCGTACCACCGTCTTACTTATTCTTCCTGCTGCGAAATAGCAGTGCTAACACGGCTTTATTCTTGTCAGATGGGTAAAGAGAGGTCACAGGTTGTAAGGCATTCCATATAAGTTCTCAGAGGCGACAAATGCATCATCTGTAGTGTTCTTAGTTGAAGCTGGCTGCAGATGTTCATGGAATTAAGAACATCAAGAGCGTACTCAACCTGGGGAGCTTAAATATCACAAGAAAATTCTAGCAGTACCTTTTTTCTGTCATTCTAATATATAACAATACTACTCAACTTTAAAACATGTATTTGACGATACCGAAAGTCTTCAAGTTATTACAAAGAAATTAACATCAAAATTCGAAAAACCTTTAATATTCCTACTCTTTAGAAATTTGACATGACATTAAAATGATGTTATATGTGCATGTGTGCGTTACATTATAGATGATGTGAAAACCGCTCGCCTCCAAGGTCCCGCGTTGTTAACGGATAACCTTCCGAGAGGTATTTGTGATTAGAACCGCCAATCAACGTTTCCTAACTCCAAGCCTCTTATTTATGTATTTTATTATTTTACAGCTAATATCTTCGAAGTAATAAACAACTTAGACGGATGTAGCGACATTTTAAAGAATCTACTCGGTAGCGATATACACAAATAACGTCAAGGAGAAAATAATTTGAACAAAGCTGTGTCTAAGTTAAATGACACATTTAGTACAAACCGCGTGTGAATCGAAAACATTTTTGTGATTGTATCAGGTTTTATTATATACTTCGTGACATTTGTCTTTGTGAAGTGTGTTAGCTTATTAAATCTAATGCAGCTATTATACATAAACCATATATGATTTACTTAAATTATAAGCCATTCATCATAATTTATATAATATTGTTAGGTAGTATTTATATACTAAATATACATACTTACTATACACATAACGTCGAGCCTGTAATTCCCGATGGGGTAGGCATACAATGATTAGCTAACTATGTGTTATGGTTTTTAAGATAAGCACCCCACCAATGCAGACTTTTTTGTTTAAAATCACTGAGAAAAACTTCTAGATTTGGAACAATTAAATCGTTTACAGGCTATACATTTGTTCCAAACATTTGATCAAATAGTTGTTCGATACACGATTCAAACTAGCGCCGCAGCATTACAACCTAAGGTACGACAACGACGAAATTTATATATTATTTTTTAAATATGGCTAAATTTAGCTGACTGCGAATTTTTAATTATAAAATAATATTCTCAGCAGAGTATTTATTTCCTCCATCATTCACAAGTCACTGTCTATCAGCCGTCTGACTTCTTCAAGTGTCATCGGTGATGAACTAATAACATGACCTAAATCATAAATACTTAAAACAGCCAGCCGGAGATACATTCTCTAAATTTCTTTAGAAACAACAAAGCCCGAAAAGATTTTTTACAGAATTAAAGGTGACAAACAAGAACGCAATTAACGTGATAGTAAATTAATACTGTGACTGTGAATTAAGTATACAAAAAAATATTCTTTATCACCCTTTAAGTTCTAAGATGGATTGCCTCTACCAAAGACCCGTTCTCGCCATTCACCATAGGACCTGTGTGTCCTTCCAGCTTAATGTTATGTACCCTGGTCGAGCCGATCTATTCGTATGGCATCCATAATATACTACATGCTCTACGTGACTGTACCACTTTTGAATTTCCCTATTTTTCCCTAAATAAAATAAAAATTAGTACTTATTACAATGTAAGAGACATCATCTTTATCCTTGGGGTGACTATTCAGCTAGGGTCTAATAGAGTTGTAAGCAGTTGACTGCATTGGTCACCGGCTATAAAAAATAGAGTATTTTAAGCAGGAAGACATTCGAAATACGTCAGCAGACTACGAACCAAGTACCTCACCCATTGTTTAAAGTTAATTTCCTAATTG